ATTAAGAACATGTAAAAACAAAATAACGCCATTAGTTATGAAATTTTTGATAGTTTTTTATACTTATTCGTAAAAAATAGGTGGATACTATTTGAGAATATTTGTATTTTCTAATTAATTTTACAGTAAAACAATAAATTTAAATTATTTAAATTGTTCTTTATATTGAAAATTATGTTTTATTATATTTTTAGATTATTTATTGTAGTAGAAAAAAAAATTCTTCAATTTCAATGATTTTTGAGAAACTGTCCAAAAAATATAAATGAAAAAATTCTCCTAAAATTAGCACTGCGTAAAATTCGTTATAATCGCTTCTGAGTTAAGTTAAGCTGATGAAAAGCTTCAGATCAAAGCCCATACCACTCACATTTGACGGCTAACTGAAATTTTGCCGAAATCTGGTTCTCAAAACACGTATTTAAAGTTTCCTTGTGTTGAAGTGGCTTGCGTAAATAACCAAAGTTAAAAATGTCTCTGTGTTGTCGTTAATTAAAATTCTCAAAGATTGTTTTGTAAATCCGATCCCGATTAAGATCTCTGATAATCCCCGTCTAAAAATCCCCCGATATCATGTCTTTTTTTCCTTCTGTTCGAATCACGACACGCCGGCAATAAATTGCTTCAATTCTAGGCGCGGACGGCGTTCGGTTTTCCTTTGTCTCGTTAATGCCGATTGCAGTGCAAGTCTGAAAATGTTGCGCCATTCAGGCGCGTCGAGGCTTTTAGGAAATGTGACAAATGGTGGATTCGCCGAGTTTCGAATTTAGATATCTTCGACCGATGCGGCGACGTTTCTTTATTTACACCTCCCTCTTTTATTTGGTGCCGTCATTAACCCGATCCATAAAACTGGAAAAACCCTGCAAGATTCAGGACTTCGTGCTTGTGTCATAAGCACACACGATTTAAGATTACGAATCCAGCGTTAGCGCTCTTATACTTTCACGCTTTCTATCTCGCTTCCGAGATATATAACGCCGTACCACACCACGTTGGATCGGCGAGACGAGCGAGCAGGAAAGTTTTCAGTGGTTTTCAGGAACTGAATACTAAAGCTCGACTTTCAGCGAGATTTTCTAAGAAACGTTTTTACAACTTTTGTAGAAATTAACAAACAATAATTGCTAAAGGTGATTCCTTCAATATTTAAGTTAATTATAATTCTGGGGCTTCACTATACCATACAGAGAGTACAGATTGGTAAAAAATGGTAAATAAGCAAAATAATCGTAATATTTTAGAAGCAGACCATAATTTACACATTCTTTTAGTTCTCTGCTTATGGTTTAGGTTGCAGAAGTGCTGAAAATAAGTCTTTTCTGACATTCTTTATAGTAATGATTCAAAAAGAAAAGCACGTCAATGTAGAAAGAAAGTATTAATAAAATCGGCGCTTAATTAAAATAAAAAAAATTGTCTTGCGAGTCGATCAAAAAATGTGTAGACTAGCTGAGAACAGTATTTTAACAAGAATTATTATTTAAATTTCTTCGAGTTCAAAAGCAGAACCTAGTCAGAGGTGGTCTTATAGATATTATCCGATTTAGATAAGATTGTATTGATTAATAAACATTTTTCAATAAAATGTAAAATTACATACTTCTTAATATTTTGAGTAAATTTGAAAGAAAAATGGTGAGAAATAAAGAAAATCTTTGTACTTTTTTATTTACTTGTAATACCTCATTTGGTAAACTGTGTACTTAAATTATTAATAAGTATAAGTTCTTCTAAAATTTTTAGCCTATTAAAGATACCTTCATTTATGTAATAATTTTAATTGTCCATAATTATAACTTAAAAATATTTTATTTTGTACTCAATGTTAAAGAGTGCTTTTATCAACTAACTCGTGAAAAAAGTCCACTCGTGACTTTGTCACTCGTAAACTTAACTTTTCCACTCGTATATAAACAATTTCTTTATCGTCTAGTATAATAAATAATTATTGTTGCTTTAAAATTACAACTAAATAAACACTAATAAAAATTAATTAATATTAGCTTAAATAATAAGAATCTAACGGGTGTTTTTTTTTAATTTGGCGTCTAACCTATCGAGGAAAGTTTGATTGTGAACAAACCATTGTGTTGAAAGTTATTAATCTGAAAATTGACACCTCGCTAGACGTATTAAAAATTGTGGTCCGTTCACAACACACTCATATGACTGCCAACTATGACGCCAAATTTAAATAAACACCCGCTACATGGTACTTTTTTCTTAGTTTTTTTGTTATAACTGTTTGAATTATTTTTTTCAAATAGTGATACCGTCCTGAAAATCCGCTCGCTCAACTTTTCCTGTGGTTCACATATATTGGCGGCACGCGCGCCCGGACGCCAGCTCGCCGCCATCACGTTTACATGGAGGTTTCCAACGACAAAATTGTTTCCGTTCGTTGGTTTACCACTAATATGAAAAAAAACACAAATTTTTTATACAAGAATAGTTTTTTAATAACGCATTATTGACAAATAATAAGTATTTAGCACGGTGGGCAGTAATAACCTTGTAAATAATAAATAAACAAAAATAAATATAAATAACATCTATTGGCTATGCATGAGAAACATGCTAACAGGATTTTGAGTCCTTGATCTCGATAAAAATAATACCTATGCGAATCTTGGAACGTGCAATGAGTCGAGTGCCCAACAACGTGGGAGGTATTGATTTTTAACCAGGAATTAACATTGACTTAAAGATTTTTTAAATTTTATTTCGACTAGAAGTATTATTTAGACTCAATTTTTTGTGATTAGAAGAATATTAGTATAGTATTAAACCCAAAATGAGAAAATAACAATTTCGTAATGAATTAATTAGGATCCAAATGTACGCCTCCATCAATTACACCAAATCACCAACCGTAAAACTGTTATCTCCTTATCCAGGGTAAAAAATGATAAAAAAATGATGGATAACATCCGCATTATAAATCCAACGTTAATTATAATTACAGTCCCGAAAAAGTCACTTATTACATAAGGTACTAGATTTAATCTGTTTCTGAAAATCCAATTTAATTTACAATTTAATTATTATTCTTCAAAATAACACCTGAATACCAAACAAACACATCTGAATACCTCCCCCGGAGATTAATTACCGTGGGTGGATATCATAATAGGAAGACAACATTCGACGCCCACATGTAAACGTGATAAGCGTGGCGGCAGGTCAACCCGAGCGTCGCGGCGTGGTTCAACACCCCTCACCCTCTCCCTGCGGCCTCCACAGTCTGCTGATTACGAAGCCACCCCATGGCCTTACCGCCCCCGCAACTCGCACCATTGTTAAACGGCCCTCTAACGTTTCTGTCTTTCTAAACGATTCTACCTATAGTTGTGCTGATGCGGATGTCATCGATGACAAATAACTCTTTCGAGGGTAAAAAAACAAACAAAAGCAAAGTTGTCTGGTGATATTTTTATATTAATAGAAAATAAACTTTAAAATTTTGTCTTTTCTTAACATTGTGGTTAATTAAAGTTTATGAAAATTTCAGTTTWTACTTAGGTACCTCTCACCAAACTGACCAAACATACAAAGTAAAGAAGTTTTTATTTTTTTATGAAACAATCTTTTGGTCCTAAATTTGTCAGTCAGATCTATTGATTGTTGCTTATCTTTAACTTTAGACTCAAAAGTGACAAAAAGAAATTGTAGATTTATCACAAAAATTAATTATTTATTTTTTTAATGGGTTATAGAGAGGTAATTTTTTGTTACAGTTAATTCTTAATTCCACTTATTTTTATTTTAAATATAATACATCAGTTATCGGCATATAATTATCGTGTAACGAGCAGTGTTTTACAATTCCGATATTATAATGTGTATTTCATTTCGTACAGCTTTGGTCAATTTTGACTACTGGTACCGTTAACAATAGCAGCATGCTACTATTTCTAGTTACGAGAAAGCAATCGATTTCATTAAATGGCTTTTTKTAAATCGATTCCAATTTAATAAAAAAGTCATGAATGTTCATGGGTGTAAATAGATAACGTTTTATTAAACGTGATCGATGGAAAAATAGTCATTAAAAGCTCCTTATCGCTACTTGATCGGCACCTTTGAGTTGTGACTAATATCTCATCCCTATAACAACAATGAACACAAATATGTTTATGAGATTTTTTTCGGTCATAGATCTTGAAATTTGAGTCAGAAGTGAATCAAGAAAGTCCGTGTAGGTCGCGAATCGGCGTGAATAATAATGACGGTCGTTGCACTTTGCGAAATAAAATATTTAAAATCTGGATCTGAAAACACAATTTWGATAAACTATTTCGGCGAAGCTTGATATGTCGGAAATGTATTGATACAGTCTGCATTTTGGGTTCCAACTAAGTGCAAAAAGAGAGATAAAAACGTCTAATAAAAAGTTATGTTTAGCGAAGCGTATATTCGTGACAAGAAAACGTTACAAATTATAAACCAAAAATAATATAGCTTCTGCCTGCAGTATTTTACAGGAGACTCCCTGAATAACTTCCGCACAGTTTATAGTCGGTCGCTGTTTTCATGTCTTCATGATTGTTCTACACTGTACTTAATCTTTATGACACCCCTATGGCTTCTGTCTTCCGTCCTTCCATTAGACATTATATGGTTACGCCCGAATACGTAAAAACTTTCAGAATAAAGTCTAATTAAGTTTGCAAAATAAAACGAAGATGTGCCAAAAGGCACAAAYCCTTTTAGACATAAAAGTTTGCGCAAAAACTAGTTTTCAACAAAACAAAAAATTGGAAAATACTACTGCTAATTGCCTTTTTTACAAAATGCAATAAAAGTAGGTAAAGAARAGAATATGCTGACGATATTTTAACTACTAGCTGCCAGAGGCCGCAAGAATCTTGATCAAAGTATTTATTACAGTTTCCTATTTTTATTAAAATAAATATTTAAGAATTATTAGTCAGTTATAATTGGTTGCCTATACAACAATATTTCAATTATAAAACTACTAGAAAATAAAAAATAAGTTTGAGTTTCTTAAGTTTATTATTTTCTCTATGCTACACAATTCTAATGTTGTAAAACACAATTAATTTTTCTTCTGTGAGCCCCGTTTTGGAACAAAAAGAACCTTATTTTCATTAGGGGGCGTAATGCCATCATCTGAGGCCCTTTTATGTGCAATGTCTGTTAAAGCTTTGAAAGTAAAGGGCTCCCAACAAGCTAAAGTTGCCAAAGTGTTTCTATTCAAAAGTATATTAGACCTCGTCAGACTCTCTTTAAATACGCCGTAATTAATATCATGTTGCTCGCAGCCTGCAGTAATTCTAGTGTCCCACAACTGAAATTGTAGAAAAATGAGCAGTGATATTATACAACCATAACAATAATTACGCTAGAAAAGTCCTGTTTTTTTAGTTTTCTACCTTTGGTTGCGTATACTAAAGCTCGATGAACGCCACGAATAGCAAGACTGTAACAATTACGTCTTCTTCCGATATAAGCCTGAAATAGAAAAAATGAGGCAAAGAACATTTAAACGAAATTGTATAATTACAGCAGCTAGTTTGAAGATTTTACGTTTACGCCAAAATTCGTCGGGACCTCGACTTCTTATAAAATTCACTGCAGTTGTGAATACCATTTTTAATATTCTTGTTTTTAGAGAAAATCTTAAAACAAAAAAGTGAGGTTAAGGTTAAATCATKGCGGCTAATAGGAGGACATGCTCAAACACAATCTAGTAATAAAAAAATAAAATAAGTATAAGTAAAAATTGACGTGTTGAACTAACACAAAACATGTTGCTGCAATAATTTCCAATAATAGTGTATGCACTCACAATTATAAATTGGAGTTGCAGATTATGTACGCTGAATATCCGGTGTCAAATTACAAGCCGTCAATGTCAGTTGTCAATCTCCTGTCACAATGGAGGAATGATAAATATTGAGCAATAGAAATCTTTGGAATGTATTTATTTATTTTAATTGTATAAATATTTATAGTGCATTCAAGATGGAAATACTTCCAGGTACACTTTAAATGGTTTCTTCAACTGTGTACTAGTTAATTGTTGTAGTGTGTGTGTATTTTAAGCAGTTTTCCCTAGTTTAGTGGACATGGGTATGATATTGTTTTTATTTCCTATATTTTGCACAAATCTTGTCTATAAATATTTCTTGTTCTCGCATGTTTGTTTAAATAAATTCTTATTTTTCACTTATTAAATTCCTGTGTGTTAGTTTCAACTAATACTTGTACTTTTAGAGGGTGTCAATGCCTCTATAAAAAAGGGGCCTGGCCTCTATGAGTTCCTTGTTGAGGCGGAACTACAACATTATTTTAATAGTTTCAAGTAAGTTCCATCAATGAAACTCATTCACTTATCCAATTAATTTGATAAAAACCCGAACAAAGTGAACATTTGTTTGTTATTTTTAGAAATACTTTGAAAATTGCTCATCCTTCCCAGTTGAAATTCACGACAGAAAGTGATTTGATAGAAATAGGAATGTCCAAGCCGGAAATGAGGCGCCTTCGTAAATATTATGACAAACATTTTCCTCATAATTATTTATCAAAACTCAAAAAAATCATCAATTATAAAAAACAGGGACAATCTTCTAATGATGCTTATCTTTTAATGAACATGGACTCTTTGTCCGTTTCGCGAGCCCCCAGAGTCTCAAGTAAACACATCATACCAGCCGCCAGTATTACCATAAACAAGGAACTGGGCATGGGCGAGTTTGGGGTGGTGCAACAGGGCGTCTGGTGCAATGAAGGGGAAAGGATACAGGTAATTATGGACAGGAAGTCATCACTCGCGAATAAAAATGCTAATAATTAAATTCCCTATAAGGCCTTGTCAAAAAACAGTTATCTAATGGTTCATTGCTCTGAAAGAATGGATTTTCGTCACAGAGATAAAAACCAGTTTTTTRTGTTTTATTCTATGATATTTCTCGACCTTGAATACTTTTCATTGCTATCAAGCTCTTAAAAATGTTTCCAGGTCGCCATAAAATGCCTATCGCGGGATCGAATGCAGAGCAACATGGTCGAGTTCCTAAAAGAGGCATCAATAATGCACAATATCGACCATCCCAATATTGTGCGATTTTTCGGCGTTGTTTTACCCAACGTTGAAGGAAGTCTGATGCTCGTAACCGAATTAGCACCTTTGCGATCTCTTCTAGAGTGTTTAAAAGAACCTTCGTTAAGATCGAGTTTCCCGGTCTTAACGCTTTGTGATTTTGCTTACCAAATATGCGACGGAATGCAATACCTCGAAGCAAACCGTTTAATACATAGGGATTTAGCTGCAAGAAATATTCTAGTTTTTTCAAAAAGCAAAGTGAAAATTTCCGATTTCGGCTTGAGTCGGGCGTTAGGACAAGGCAAAGATTACTACCAAACGAATTTTAATGTGAATTTGAAACTACCAATTGCGTGGTGTGCCCCAGAATGTATAAGTTATCTCAGATTTACCACGTCGAGCGACGTTTGGGCTTTTGGTGTGACCCTGTGGGAAATGTTTTCGTACGGTTTTCAACCATGGGCGGCCTTGACTGGACAACAAATACTTGAAGCAATAGACGAACCGAACTTTCAAAGATTAGAACAGCCGGATTGTTGTCCTTTAGATCATTATAATTTAATGTTGGATTGTTGGAGACACGAAGCCGCTGCTAGGCCCAAATTTGCCGAAATCGGGCCTGTCTTAGCCGAATGCAGACCTGAACAAGTTCAAGCCAAATCTTCTGCCGGGGAAGGCCCCCACATGCTTTCGTTCCGAATCGGTGACGTTCTTACTGTCCTAGATAAAAAGTCAGTCAAAACTGTTTAATAAAAAAATCTTTATTATATAATTTTAGGACACACCACCCTCTCTGGAAGGGGGTATCGGCCAGTGGCAAAACCGGCCTTTTCGACCCCATCAACGTCGTGGCCTACCTTGGGAGTGATCTACCAAGTTCTTCGTTTTTACGCACTGACAGTACCCGATCGTCCTCTCGGAAAAAACTCCGAAGCGAAATGATTAGTGCCCCACAAGGTGATTTAAAACATACAGGTCACGTGGGCCTCGACGGAGCTTATTTCGGCGACTTGAGTTTCCTAGGGGGATCAAAAGGAAGTGTAAGCTTTGAAACTCTGTCAATTATTTTAAATTAATAAAAAAAATAGTATGGATCAGTCCCCACCCAAGTCGTGGCTCCTTACCGCCCGCACAAAGACCTGGAAGCGGCCCCGCTCCTCGAAGGGGATCACGTGCCGGCTCCTGCACCACTCCAAGACCACGAGTATCACGAAATTAGCGACGAGGAGAATACCCACAGCCCCCATTTGGACTTGGGACCGTCGCTGATGGCCGAAATGGAACTAATGTTGAATTCATTTGGTCATCCGAATCAAGCACTGGATCATGAGGGGTCGTCGAACCGGAATAATGAATTGAGGGAGAAATTGGGGACGAAATCGAGGAAACAAGCCACGATTAAACCGATTTCGACTCATGATCAGAAAACGTTAGATACGGCGATTGCCCTGGCGAATGAGTTGAGTACGAGGTCGATGTCGGCTCCGGCACCCACGACGCCGGCGTCGCCCAACAAGAAAAAGTTCAGTTTTAGGTTTCCTTCAGTTGGAGAGCATGACAAGAATACGGAGAGAAGGAATTTTTCGGAGGAGGCCTTGTCCACTTCCGATTTACAGGTTGGTACAAAAAATTCAAAMCAAAAGTTRTTTTGAATTGTTGCAAAACGCACGTTTTAATTTTTGAAATACACAAGTACAGTAAAGGAGGGTGTCAATAAGTGGCAGTTGTTTTATAATTAAGTAACTCCTAACTGAGCCATTTAATGCTTTAATATTTTTAATTCGTAATCAATATTGATCACCTTTTCTGTACTCTTTTATATTAAAGTCACATTTGCAAAAGCCGAACGTATTTTTGTCTGCTTAAAATAATCATTCTGATTTAGTACACGATACTAACACTGACTTTTCCCCTTTCCCACATCCCTTTTATTTATTTCAATTATTTTCGTTCCAACATATGTTCCGTTAGAAATTTATGAGTTCACCTTCCTCCCTTGACGAGCTTTCAAACAACAGCTTACGCCTTCCGCTTTGGGACAAAGCTTCGGCCGAGTTCTACTTTGCCAAATCTCGCGAACTGCTCTCGCGTCCTTTCCCTTCGACTCACCGAGGTCCCCAYAGTTCTTGTCGGAACTTGTCGAGTTTGCACGACGACAGCTTCGATCATCACGACTACGGCCTCGAGCACCAATTCCAAAATTTATCGTTYGAAGACAACTACTACCGGCCTCATATGCAATACCGCGACCGGACTTTAACAAAATCAGAAAGTATGGCCCGGAAGACTTACACTCCGGACCCGCGACTCCACCACGAGCATTTCTTTCGGGAGAACATCCCCGAGCGGTCGTACAACGCCAACGGCTCTCAGTACTTCGAGACTTCGTACATTTACTACAAGACTGATAACGTGTTTGATTACGATAAGGACCTGAAATATAGACAGACTGCGAAACAGAAAGACTTTTTCGAGAGGCCTCGTACTTTAAGTTTCAGCGATACGCAAGACAACATTCCGAGGAAGAACGGTCGAAGTATACGCGACCGGAACCGAAGACGACAATCGTATAATCCGAAAGCGTATGAATCGAGTTCCAGCGATAGCGACTGTATTAGTGTCGGGTCGGTGGACTTTGATTGGCGGAGGCGTAGAAGACTGTCACGACTTTCGGCCTCTAATAGTAGTATTCGGTCAGAAATGTGCAAAAGATCGACCAATCCGTTCTTGAAACCGCATTTCAGTTCGAAGATGATGGGCAGGTCGCCRCCACCGAGTAATAGCATTTTGAGCGGGTTGTCGCCCACATCGGCCGCGAGGTGTCAAAGATCGTCCAATTCGACGTCTTCGGATTCTAGTTTGTAAAAAACGCGCTTGGTTTGGAGGAAATGGGATCCTTTTTCATAAACAAGATGTTTTTATCTAGACAGTCAAAGTATCGAAAAATTTTGCAAACCAATCAGACCTTGTGAAAAAATAATCCTCACAGATATCTGCGTAAAGTCGGTTCCATTATTTTCAATGGTTTTAATGATTTTCCCAAATTTTAGTAAATAAGTCACAAAAATGGATCTTTGAACCTGTCTGCCGGACAGTGGTAAAAATTTTCTCCGAATTCAACGCAACCTCACTGTCAAATTCACCACRAGTCAGAGTAATGTAAAGCTATTGCTGCGATTGTAATAAATGTAGCGTTTCATACTTTGTCATACACTTTATTATACGTAACGTATCCCTCCCATTTACAATATAGCAATATAGAACTAATATAACTTTGTATAATTATCACAAGACGCTTCTATCGGTATCGGCCGCACCTCCACTTTCTTCTCCTGGACCTTTTTTGTTTTTTATTTTATTTTTGTTTTCCCTTTAGTCCAAAGTTACACAAGAGGCACAGATGGCATACCAAGGACTCGTCGAAAGTCCCTCAGCCGACGTGACTCAAGTAAGTCCCTATCATTGCCCAATCAGATCAAAAACCGATCAATTTCAGCTAATGGTCACGAATCCATTACGGATATTACGTTCGGGTCAGCCCGTCATAAACCCTCGAACACGTTCGGCGAGTGTTGCCAGCACTCTCCCGCCGAAATTCCACGACTCGGTTCGAAATTCTGTCCCGGAAAATTTGAACGGAACCAAAACAGGTGTGGCAACCAAATTTCCAGACAGACAAATTAAACGCCAATCCGCAGATATGTCCGTTGATGAGCCGCCAAGGCAGAATTTCTCAAGTCATACTTTACCACACCTTCACAGGGATGACAACCCCATCCCCTTGCCGCCGAGGGACCGAAACAAGACTCTCTTAGCGGCGAAACCACGACATACGCGRAAACACCCGCTTATTATTCCCCCGWCGAATTTGCAACGCACGCTGGAYAAAATAAATACGGTTACACCGCCGGCGACGGTTACGGTTGATCCATTTCACGGTAACGAAGTTCCGGTTTATTCCAATAGYGTTACACAAATGGCGGAGAAAAACCCGGAGTCCATACACTTCGAGGCGCAAATCGAGTCGGATTTGAATGCTTTGGATGAGATTCCGCAAGAGCAAGATGTTGTAGATGGAGTTGGGAGTATGAGAGTTGACGATGAGAAGTTGAGTAGTCATCATGTGAGTTGTGAGGATCTTCTCAAGTTCGCGAACGCGAAACCGAGTTCGAGGACTAGAGGGATAGATTCGGATGAAGTCAGGATTATGTTGAAAGTTTTAGGTAAAGATGTAAGTGTCACGTGATTACATTTTGTCTAGGATTTTTTACATTGTTTTACATGGTAGGTATCCAAAGAGAAATGCGTGGACGCGTTAGATCAGTGTGAGTGGGAAGTAATGAAAGCAATAAAAATCGTCAAACTACAAAATATGGTGARCGCTGATATGAGTGTCTGTTGTAACGCTTTGGAAAATTCRGCTTGGGATGTGGCTAAGGCTGCTCAATKGGTCTTACAACAAGACGAGGTGACTCAAGTGTAACATATCAACTATAAGTTTTAAATTCTCAATTCTTATTGTCTTGCCAATGTTATATTATTTTAAAGAAATTAACTTATTTTTTATGACATTTTGTTAGAAAATAATTATGTTAGAATTATTTTTTATTAAAATTGTACATGTGGACAAATTTTTACGGCTTATACATCTTATACCAGTAGTGACACTTTTTAAAAATTATACAATGTTTTACAATAAATTTATACACAAAATTAATTTCGGGTCTTATTTTTCTCCAAAAAGTCACATTCAGTCACATAAAATATATCTTTATTGTAGAATTAGTAAATATAACAAAGAAAAATAAGTCAATATAAAAAGATTAGAATAAGTATTCTGGCACCAACAAAAACCATTTAGTCACTAATCGATATGGGGCCTAGACACTTTCATAATACTGTGTTTACAGTAGATAAAAAATTTTAACATTTTTTCAGCTTACTATATTTTATAACCCTCAATAAAGGGAATACCAGTTCCTACTTGTTGCTGATAATCACAGTATTGTTGACCGAAAAAGCTCAACAACATACTTTCTTCAATATAAATTCTCTCTTTAAAAAACATCCAACTTGCAAGAGTATAAGCTGGAATGCATAGTGGATTTATTAGGATTATTTGTGTCCCAATTGACCAATAAAACCAGCCAACATAACTCGGGTGTCTGAACCAACCATAGACCCCGTGGGTAACCAAAACATGATCACTAGATTTTTCACACTGGACCTACAATTAAAAAATTAACAATAATTATTTKAGCAAAAGGGAGTACTTACTAAGTGATTAAAATTTGAACCAGCTGTCAAAATTGCTGTTTTACGTAAAATTTCGCCGAGAATACAAACACATAAACCAATATTTGAAAGCCAGTGAATTTCTTTAAGGCCTGTAAAAATACCAGTCATCTAAGAAATAATTTTGGCTGAATCTACCTGGGAAAAAATAAGTTTCAATGAAAAATTCTATCCACGAACTTATTGCAGCAATCGTATATTGTGGACTGTGATTTATCACAAAAGAATCAGTTGAGACCTGCTTAGGCTGCACAACCGCTATGGCCAAAAACTCACTGTAGTGAAACAATGCCATGACAGACATATAGCCCCCAAAAATTTGAATGTTTGGAGGCGCGACTAGCTTTATGTAGACTCCTAAAACCAGAACCAAGCCCAAAATAGCGGCACGTATTGCAATCTAAAAGATACATTGCTTCAAAATTAATATTAAAATCATTAAACAACTCACCGCAAAAGCATATTCGTTATAAAAGAATTTCAGAAAAAAATAAACATTGACGGTGTAGAAAAAAACAGTCAATGTGTTTACTACCAGATTAGTGATTCCGTAATAATAATTAAACATGCAGATTACGAAAAATATGAGTGAGGATCCGGTGAAACTTTGCAACGAAATTTTTCCTTCGAGACTTAACATTTTTTTTGGGTCTGCAGTTTAGTTATCTTTTATCACAATAAAAAAACACGCTCAGCATTATTTGGGGTAATTATCACTCGGAAATCCTTCTTCACATTTTAGAATTAGATAACACTACCATAAACGTCAAAACATTATCAAAACAGAGCGTGTCTGAGGCTACGTCCGAAAATTGATCGCACACCTTTTTAATAATCGTATGACAAAATTACACAAAACACTACAAGACAAACCAAATTGGGTTACTGGTGACCCAAACTAAATCAGTAATATTTTAACTTAACAAACTTCACACAAATTTCAATAAATCTGGGTTGTCAGACGCAACCTAAGTCACTTCCTTCACGTTTTGTCATTAGTGAGGTTAGTTATCTGTCATCTTGACAATGACCACAATGGTRTATAACCTGTAAAATAAACGTGAAACACGCTTAAAAATGGGTATTCGGGGCTTGACAACATTTATAGCCAATAGATCGAGTCAATACCTCGACAGTTACGAACTCCACGACACATATTTAGTGATAGATGGAAACAGTATTGCTTGTCAGCTTTATAAATGGCATTGCAGGTGCAACGACTGTTTTGGGGGCGACTACGACAAATATGCTGCTGTTATCAAGAATTTCTTTCAATTATTGTCCGATTGCAACATCACTCCTTTGGTTGTATTCGATGGAGCTTACGAAAAACGCAAATTGAAGACAGTCTACAGCAGAATGAGAAACAAAATCAGTGCCTCTAAAGATCTTAACAGTGTCACCGAAGGCCGTATTTCGGTATTTCCTCTATTTTTACGTGAACTTTTTGTCGATATTGTCATTAGTTTAAACATAAAATGTGTGAGATGTGACTTTGAAGGTGATAGTGAATCTGCTGACCTCGCTAGGACTTTGGGGTGCCCCATAGTCAGTTTCGATTCCGACTTTTTTATTTTCGACGTCTTATATATTCCATTCTCGACGATGCAATTGCGACTACGGAAGAGAAAAAATATTAATTACCTGATGTGTGAGGTCTACAGGGTCGAAAAATTTTTAAATTCGTTTGGAGGGTTGGATAAAATCAATTTGCCGCTACTTGCAGCCTTGTTGGGGAATGATTACATAAAGAAAAGTGCCTTTTCGATGTTTTATCGTCAGTTAAAAATGCAGAAAACGAAACATAATGAGCAACAAACTCAAATTAAGTCGGTCATTGTCTGGCTTAAGAATGAAACTCCAGAATCTGCCCTGAGGAAGATTTTGGGGCGATATAAGATGAGACATAGGAGKACTTTAGCGAGGAGGATCGAGAAAGCGATTGGAGCGTATCAAAGTGGTGACGGTCACATATGCTCGTATTTTAATATTGAGAGAAGTGGTGACAATAGAGGGAAAATAGTGGTGCCCAAACCGGAAGATGTCGAAGATTTAGAGCAGGGAGAACTTGAAGAAGGCGAAATTGAGGATGAAATGTCAGCAAGTTCGGAACAGTTATCTTCAGACGAGCAGGAAGAGGAAGAAGTAGAAGGATCAATCCCTGTGTTGAAATCCAATATTCCCAATTTCTTTCGCGACAATTACAAAAAATGCCTATACCCTCCGTCGTTCATGGATATGATTATATCTAGTACTTACTACTTCATCCCTTTAATCGAAGATTATTCTTTAGAACCTTGTCATACCATCAGTTTGGAAATTGTTGCAGCAATTTACAAAATCCTAACTGTCCCAAAAACACGCACTTTATTTTGCGTAATGCGCAACGAGCATTCACACATAAAAAGATCCCCAGTTCCTGTATACGATGGCGATGTGCCAAAATTATCAGAAACTGAAAATATGGACCAACAAATTGCCAAACAAATTTTATTACAAATTTTAAAAATCGAGAACAAATCATTCGAACATTTTCCAAATTCTTGGCACCTGTTCCTGATCTCAATAAATTACTGGATAACAAATTCCAAACGGAAAATCGACCTACCTCATGTCTATTCACTCATTCTTTGTGCAATCATGTTAAACTACGTCGACACCAAAGTCGGTTTTTATAGATCGACCAAATCATTTTTGTCCAAATATAGCTCGCATAATGAAGCAACAAGACCCCCAACTTCCACGAAAAACATAACAGAGGCCTTGAATGAAATCGATTTAAGTAACAGTATCTCGTGTGCGAAAACCTTGATTGATTACTTCCAAATGGACGCGAAAATGCGGTGTTACGTTAAGTTATTTGATAGGAATATTATCCATGACTTTGCACAATTGCAGAGCTGTTTGTTACATATCAAATACTTGAATTCTCTGTTAAATTTCCCATTTCCGAATTTCATTGTATCGGAATTTTATGATGGGACATTTCTCTACAACATGACAGCGAATTTACTTAAAAGAACGGATTTGAAGGGCTATATGAAAATCTTATTGAGGAAGTGCCCTCAAATTTTGTATATTTTCGAACTGATGGCTGAGGAAATTGAAGATAAGGTTGTTTTCAAGACGGGGAGGCATGAGCCGCCAAGGAAGAGAAAGAAGAAGAAGAAACCAACGACGAGTTTTGTACCTGAAGCCGATCTTCTTAGCGATGTATCGGATGAAGAATACGTTTTCGATTCAAACAATAAGTTTTCTTTGTTATCTTTCGTAAATAAATGATATTTGATTCGACACCACTTTTTTATTTGACACAATTTTTATTATGAAAACCTAAAAACAAAAAGGATCTACTATTAGATAAGATAATTTAGGACCAAAACCATCAATCATCACTCTAGAGAAGTTGCAAAATGCAGACCAAATTATTTTTGCGTCATACGGAAGCAGTCACCTACATGTATTGTAACCTCGACATGGTTATGCTTAATTACATTAAAAAGATTATTTTACTTCTATGATACCTACGCAAATTACAATTTTTGTATCAAGCAGGAAATGTGGAAATGGTTTTAAAATCAAGCTGCTTTATTTTTACACTGTTCTTATACATGTACCCAGTGGAAGTGTTTTTGAGTTCTTTGTTAATCTTTTAAAATAGTTTTTTAGGAAATTTTTTATACATCAGGAAATACAAAAATTATTCCATTTCTTGGAAGCTGTAGGTTATTCACCAAATTTGTGTTTTTTAAAGCATAATTATTCTGCTCACAAAATTTATCGATTTCGGTAGGCAGTATCTCCACTGCCGGCATCGCAATAGTGCTCAAAAAAAATAGAGGGTGTCGGTTGCCCGCGCTTTGTTGATTTAGATTCCTCAATGTCTTCTAGATTTTTTCTTATAGGTAAAGGTCGTTGTGTCATTTCAATTGCCATTCTGCCACTTTTCACAATGTTTTTCTATATGAAATAATGGAGTATTTTGGCTCTAAATATGTCAGTAAGATCTAATTGTTGTACAGATCCTTGTTTTACACATAAATAAAATATTTGTGTCCTATTTCGCCCCAAAAAATACAGTTGCGACACGTTGCCATTGAAATGGCATCTGCATTATTGCATCAGTAATGGCATTTCAATAACTACAGTTTTTTATTATTATTTTAGTAAAAAAATATTTAACAGACGACTTTCGTTTGTAAATATTTTAGAGCTACATGACTTTACAAAAATTGAAAAAATATTCATTTCAAAATTAGTAGATGATTAATGATCACGTATTCACTAGTTGGGACATGCTGTATATTCATATTACAGTTCTGCGTTGAAAGATGTGGGTGTAGTATTATTAAACAAATATTTACAACAATATTAAACGCCAGTTTATTTACACATCATCGACCTTGGCCTTTTTATCCAATTAGCAAATTTTTTTCTTTGTTGATTTTTTTTTATCATTTTAAATATAAATGCTCGAATATGAATTACAAAGAAATACAACTAATTTCTTTAAAATAAATCGGTTATTGTTTTGATTTACCGCCTTTTACGTGAAAAGCCGCCCATCTCTCAAACTCACCCACTGACACCCATCGAGTTCCCACTGCGCAACGCAATGTGACGCCTCCAAACGAAATCAAGTTGAATATTATTGATGTTTGGTGTGTATCTAGTCGCAAAAGTGGTGTTTTGATAGTGAAAATAGTCAAAATAAAACTTTAAATCACTCAAAATTGACTGATATTATTTGGTAAGTTAATCTGCCTTCCGGCAGACCCATTTTTGCTGACCTCCAGCTTTTATGTGCGATCGGTGGGAAGAATACTCATTTCCCAGCTACTGTAATTTAATTACCTACCACTTTTCATAGTGTTGCATTCTCGGCCCTATTTAGGGAGGAAAATTAAACAAATCYGACCCCAATTTGTGAACTCGATTTTGCGCTACCTGTAAAATATTAGAGTTTGAATGACATCATCTATGTAGTCACGTATAAATTTGAACATGTTTGATTTTAGGTGAAATGGCAGATCCAGGCTTTCCAGGACAACACACAACCACCACGACTGTTACTTCAAACACAACAGTCCAGACTAACATTAGATATGATCCTACCTATATTAGGACTCTGCCTGGCATTCTCAAAATCGCAGAGATTGTGAGTGTCAAGTTATGATTTGTTTGCTTATTACGTTCGGTGATTTCAAAATAATGTATCAGCTTTAAATTTAACATACTGTGAATGTGGTCCATAAATCCATTTATACTTGTTTAAAGTCACAAATACATGATTTATTTAAGGTCCTAAACCTCTTGGGCTTCATCTGCATAGAAGTGAGTGCCTTTTCATACGTTTCCCGGGGTAGTTTCTTCATTTTCGTCGCAATGACAGGCTTTTGGTTCACCGGCTTTCTCCTCCTCTTCTACCTTTTCCATATCATAGAGAAATTCTACCGAATTCCATGGTTAAAAATCGAGTTTGGTTTTGACGCCCTGTGGGCATGTCTATATCTCATAGCTGCATGTCTTGCAGCTACGTATGGAATTGAAGCCTTTGCTGTCGCAGCCGTAAGTCCCCCCAATCAATTTTGATAAAATACAATATAATTATATTGTTTTAGTTTTTCGGCTTCTGTGCAATGGTGGTGTACGCAGGAGACGCGTATTTGAAGTTCAGGGCAGCAATGAGTGGCGAGTTGGCCCAAGGCGAAAGAGTCATCAACAAACAAACGACGACGACTACATCACCTACCCATTATTAGAAGTGTTGAAAATGGTAATCGTCTGTTAATTACTTAATATTTATACTGATTCTCAAAATGTATGTTATTGTATGTATTGTTGGATGCTTTATCGAATTGTTTCTTCTTGTGCACTCTCGCCATATACTTAACTTCATATCAAAGAATGCGAGGACCACATATTTGTAACATATTTTTTTTTATTTAATATACCTACTTATTCTTGTGTAATAAGAACACTGTACAAATTTGTAGATTTTAAGAAGTTTATGAGCCACTACTTGCATCAGCAGGTGGTCCCTAAGTCAAATTTGACATGGATAAATTATTGTTTTTAGGTTTACAATTTTCACAAAATTTTGATAGGGTAAACCTCAAGATGAATAATTTTTTAATGTCAAATTGCATAAAAGATATCCGAAATCGGTCACCAAAAGTCGTAATGATTGTAAATTGTTTTTATAATACAACGAATCTAAAATACTATATTTGTACGATTGAGGTTTACATCTTTTTTTAATAAAAATCACTATTACATCATCCTTATTATCTGGTTTTATTTGACAGAAAGCCTAAAAAAAATATAAAATAGTAATAAGTACCTAAGAAAACCACTAATTTTGTAAACACAACTTTAAATCAACGAAGGTAAAGTAAAAATTCCATGAGTGTTCACTTGTAGTCTCAAATAGATTTTTGAATTGAACACAGAGTCATTTGGAGTTTCCAAGCTTTTTAATTTTAGTTTTTAAACGTTTTTTGTATTGAATTTGTAAAAGATCAATTTATGAACACAAAATCAGAAATATGCTAAACAAAAAAAAACGTAAATTTTGTTATGAATTAATTCTGAATTTATTTGTATAAAAATTTAACAGATCGTACAAATATGAAATTGAATTCTATTTCATGAGATTTTAATTATTGGAAGTAGAAAAAATAGTTAACCACCCCAAGTGAGTCTGGCGACATGATCAGTTTTCCTCTTGGAACTCTTGATGAATCCCAAATACTCCAATTCGGCTATTGCCTGGGTAAAACGGGCTCTAAATTTGCGTTAAGCGATTTTTTTTATTTTTAAAATATGAAGTTCAATCTCAAAATATGAAAAAGGATACTGGAATTCAGGACTGACTTTCGGGCTTGAGTCATCATCGATGTCTTGTGGGTCAACTATACTAAGGAAAGACTGGAGCCAATCGTACAAATTAATCATTTTTCCACACTCTAAGTGGAGTTTGTAGATGATACTGACGTCAGGCATTGATGAAAGTATCACAGAATCGTTGGCAATTTCGCAACAAGGACACTAAAATAAACATTTATTCGAAGCGTTAAGAAAAAAACATTACCTGTAAATAAATATGAGGATCATTTAGAGCTGTGTGAATTGCCGCCCTGTGAGAACCTATGATATGATTTTGGATTGAAATGTCGTTAAAAAAGAAAATTTCGTGAAAGTGAAAATTAGTCGGTTCTTGCAAATATATTTCGAATTGTTCCGATAAAAAATTGAGTAAATTTGAACGGATTTTCTCGTATTTGTTCATAGGTTTGTTTTGTTTCGACATTTGAAGCAATTTCTAAAAAAAATGGTTACTATGGAATTTAAAAAATCGTAGAAAAAACCTCTTTAAGTTGTAATCTTCCCATTAGTTCACTTATGCCATCATTTTGGGCCACTTCATCTTCATTCTCTTCCTGATCAAGATTCTTTAAGTTATCTAAATAGTGATTAAGTTTATCCACGATAATGTGCTCTACTTCCTTATCCAAAACCTCATCGATGTTATTAATAATGAAATCTCTAATTCTTTTCACTTTATTACACAACTCGTCTCTCGATTGAAACGCTAATAATTGAAAACACTCCTTATATTCTTGACTTTTAGTAATATTTCGTGAAACGGCACAAGCATACAGTTCACGAACCTTGAAAATCAAGCTCAAATGACACGAATTTCCAAATGAAAATTCACACCTGTTTACCAAGAGGCGYTTTGGGTAAATCAAACACAAGCACGTGTAAGCATTTCAAAAACAAATGCAAATTCGGCAAATACGACATAATTTTCCTCACTTCTTTCAACAAAACATTTCTGAAATAAGTATCATCAGTTAATAAAGCGATTCGGTCTTCCGCGGGTTCACTTTCGACCAGTTTTCGGAAAGACATGAGTCGACGAACGTTTTCGAGATCATCGTGTGAAAAATCGGAGATAATTTGTTTGACGTGTCTCCTCTGACAGAGGGCCATAACATTGCCGTAACTAAAATGCTCCAGCATGGCGTACTACAACCAACATTTCAAAATAAAACACAATTTTCGAATACAATTACCTTAAAATTCTGGATAAATCCACTTACTGAGAGATCRTAAAACAAAAAAATGTCTGTAAACAAATTAAAAACCTTTCCGCCTAAATGAAAGGGACAGTGCCGCGAAAATAAGATATTTTCCAATACGTTGTTTAAATAAACTGTAGATGGGGTTGAATGAAAAACTTGTATATTAATTCGAGATGATACGTGACACGGAAGTGACCTATGAACTGCATTGAGGGAAGTCGCGACTCCAAAAACAAACACGAATGGCAAAACGTTGATATACGAACTAGCGATAAGGATAAAATCTTGTAACACTTTAGGGGAGAAATTCTCAAAATCGGGGATTATAACCACGATTACATTTTTATTGTATTTGGTTTTTTCCTTCTTTGGTGATTCATCAATTTTTGAAGATTCGTAAAGTTCCTTATACCAGGATTGTAGAAGCGTAAAACTACATTGAGATTTTTTAATCTGACGCATGTCTGAGTCAGAATCCTTCAAAAATAATTATATTTACATAACTGAAACTCCTTTTACTTTCTTACCTCATCTGTTAGTTCATTATCACTTTTAATTAATTGATTAACCAAGATTTCAACGAGATATTTTAAAGTTTGACAATCCTCACCACTTAAAGTAACTACATGTGGTGTTATTGAACGTCTAATTTCTTTTTTGAGGGTTTTAAATTGGACTGTATGGTCAGGCATGTTTATTCCTGTAAGTAAAGCTGCAGCTGGGATTTCATTCACTGTATCTTTGTAACTGTTTTTAAGAAAGTTTACTAAATTACAAAGAATATTGGAAAACATGTCGTTATTTAATTCCTAAAACAAATCAAATTAAACTGATTCACATAGGAGAATATGAACATTACTTGAATTTGGGTTTCAATTGATTCCCATAATGATTTATACGTTTTATACCATAAACTATCACAGTAAAGACTTTGGGTACGTTTGTCTTTCCTCCGGGATTTTTTAGAAGCGGCTTTAGCCCCATTTTTGAAGACAAAAACACCCTGAAATTGGCGCCAAATATGTAAACAATATTTTTCATACTCAATGGCACTGAAAGTGTAGTTCAAATTTTTTTTTCGAAATCAACCAGTGTTAATTAGGCATATTATCATAACAATAACAAAAAAAAATATTTTTAAAGAAAAATCGCAAAATTTAGAGACATGTTTTGGGGTTAGGTGTTGGAAATTACCTTTGACACGGACACGGTTGCAGCCATTTTAATAAACAATTTTCACATTAACCTACAGCATAAATTCAAAAATCTTTTTAAAATTAAAATTGTTTAACAGTCACAAAAATGCTCACAAATAATAACACCACCAACAAAAAAAGCAATTTAAAAAATGACATTTGACATTGACAATTTTTGTTATTAAGGTGACAGCGCAATCTATGAAAAGCTTCAGAAAGCAGAAAATAAGGTAAGATATAAAAATTATGTAAATATTTAATTTAAACTGCCAATGTGCTTTTTGTTACAAAACATACAAGTATAATTATAAATTATAATTAATTGATTTGTTTTTATTAAAAATGATACAAAATTAAGGTGTATTTTTGGTTGTCTACCCCAGCAGTATTAAATTAAAAATTTAAATATGTGTAATACAGTGAGCGGCAAAATTATGGAATAATCTTATTAAATCTGAAAATATTTTGTTTTGCCATAAATGGTCGAACAGATCAATATTCTTTTTAAAAAGTACAAGGTTTTTTTTACTTTTTTTGGTTTTTGAGTAATGACGTCATTTTTTAATTGGAAACCCCTAATTTTCTTTAGCCTTTTGATAGATCTTTTAATTGTCAAAATGACAACACCAAAATATTACATAAAACTGTCAAAAAAAAACACCAATAAACTGAAATAATATCAACAAAAAGCAAACATACAATTTTAAATCAAGTTGAGTTTTTGTATTTTTTAAAAAGGAAATCGACCTGTTTGAGCATTTTTGTAAAAACAAAATAAATATTTTTAGTTTTAAAAAATAAGATTATGYCTCCCAGTGGAGAAGAAGAAGACAATTTTGCCGCTCACTGTATATTTTTTTAATGTAGAATAGTAATCATAAAATGTTTTTGTTTATAGAAATATAAAGAAACAATTTTTAATTAAAAAAAAAATCTTTTTTTCTCTTGACGTAACATGGTTTTTTTGTTCTTACAAAATCAAGCCTAAAAATTTTCTTCTTTTTTGTGAATTCTAAAATCTAAAAATCCATACCTATCGAAATTATTTTATCTCTCTCCAACGGGTAGTTCTAATGTGCTTTAGTATGTAATTAATCCTCCGGAGAGCCCTTTATAACCAGCGGTCTATTATACGTAGCAGCATTGAACTTCATTTGGTATGTTGATGTATTTTCAGATTATGTTCATCTGCTAAAATAGCATCTTGCAAGCTCGGCTACCTATTAACCTATTAATCTGTGGTCAGTCAGCATTAAAAACATTAGTATAAAAACTAAAAATTAAATATAGTTACGACACGTTTAAAATTTGTTAGCAAAAATCTGATTAAAAACACAAAAATTACAAATATTTATTTGCTACTGCTGATCATTTGCATTTTAGATTTTATCGAAATAAAACTAACTAAAAAAAAAGTAAATTAATGTCAAGATATACTTTACATACCTATGGTTACTTACGAATTGATACTTAATTATGTTAATACCTAATTTGAGMGGGTTTTCGTTTTACGGTAGGTATTGACCATCTGCAGAGTACATTTTGTAAGCACAGCAGGTATAAGGTTTTAAAATTGCTCTGAAACACGACGTATCATCGTGTTACTCTGCAGGTGAAGTGTATAACTTTGTGATGTTTGACTGATAAAGAAATAATTGCACGGTTTTAGTAAACTTCAAATATAAAACAAAAACAAGAATCACGTGATATTTTCTGTAGAAAAATAAAATAATAAAGTCAAGACAGGATTATTAACTCGTTTCATACAATTAATTAAATTATTTGTGCAAATAACCATAACCAATAATAATCAATTCATGAATATAAAATAAACTTAAGAAGCAAAAACTTTTTAGTCTCAGTATTTTACACTGTTTGTGATTAGGTTTACAAGAAGCAATTTGTCAATTACTCGATATTTCTAATTGTCAGTTATTGCTTTTTGTCTTAATGTTCTAAGAATAAACAAATGTTTTGTTTACTCTTCGAGAAACTCGTTTATCCAAATAAGGGAATCAGAGTGATATGTTGACTCGACACCTCCGTATACTGCCAATTCATAAATCAAAAACAGTTATACTAATGCTGTAACTGTCACCAGATTTTTCTAATTTGGATTATAAGAATATTTGTGTGGAAGGTACAACTATACTGAGTGGGTCATTTAAGCCAAAAATGTGTCAGTTGTATTAAAACTTTTGAATAATGATAAATGATCTAATACGAAAATAAAATTTAAAGTCCTGTAAAGCAAACCCACGACAAAATGTATAATTTGTGTGGATGTGGGCGCAGCTTAGATTATTAGTAGAGAAGACTTGTTTTAAAATACATAATAAGTAAATAATAATAATAAATAAAAAGTACAGACTGATTCATGTAAGATGGCAACCTTTACAAAGATAAAATGCAACCCAAAATACATTCTACATATAGATGCATTTTACTTTTGTAAGGATCATCATCTTACGTGAGTAGCATTATACTTTATTCATTGATGTTTAATTTAAAAAAAATCTGTAACTTGCAAGAATAAGTGCCACTGTACACGATTATACTCGACGGATATCCTACATGTTTTTTGTCTGTCAAAAATTGTAAACATCTTCAAAAATATTATTTTAAATACATAATTAGCAATAAATCAGTCTGTAATCGGTATTCATGGAACAGATGTCTTTTCGATAAGTTCTAGAAACCAGAATCTCATTCTCTGATAATTAGGTAGTTGCGGTTATTGGAACTTATTAAAAAGATAGACATCGTAATATCAATTTCTTAACACTTATCTGAGATAATTAAATAAGTTATTTTAAATTTGTTTTTGTATAAATTGTTACACCAAAATTAAAAAAATGCACATAGGTACATAATTAGAAATTATAAAGATCTTCGCTAATTGTTAAAGGTAGACAAAAATCATATTTTACAAACAAACAAAGCCATATAATAAATTATTTATGCTTACAAATTTCTCTAGAATTTTAAACAAAATTAAACTGAAAACTGCCACCATCGTCACAGATAACAGCTTACCAAATAATAAATTTATTACACCAGATAATTAAGCGAATAAGAGGAAACGTTTATAATTTCTCACATTTACTCATTTAGTAGAATGCAGTTTATCTCCTGTCCATGATTTGCAAAATCGAAGTTTTAGTACCGAATTCAGACGTTCCCACATTCCCCCCTATTAAAATAATAAAACTTACTGGGTTTCCACTCGAAACACCCAGCAGGAACATTTGTCTGTAGATTCATCATTATCCTGCTGAGCATTCGGCTTGAATATACCATAAATGCACACGACGCGGAAATTGCAGAACATCACAAGTTCAGCGACTTCATCATCAAAATCCATAAAATATGTAGTAAAAGAATGTGCTGCAACTTATTACATCAACGGAGTGGCACAATTTGACATTGACCGGGCCCGAGTTTGAAAATCGTTCAATGTGAGTGGATATCAAAATGTTATTTCTGGACCAGAGTGTTACATTATAGGAGCATTGAAAAACTACAAAAAAGTGCCAAGAATCTTTCAAAACACTACAAAAGATTTGTAGTCCTCTAAATATTGGGTACATGAAAATATGCTTAAAATACACCAAAAGCGATACCAAAAGCTTTGCTTTCTTGACATCCACACGCTTCTATTCCTACATAAAAAAAGAAGATAAAACTTCTTTACTCATCTAAAGAATATTGTTAATTTTTTAGGGATTTTTTTTTTTAAATATCGATATGTATTTTGTGAAAAATAAATTTATTTAAAAATAAATGTTATTAGAAATGATGTGTTTTATGCGATTTTTACAACGTCAAATGAAATTGTGGTGAGAGTATAGTAATAGAATTTAACATTACTAGTATGGTAAAAGGATTTTTACTGTGGACAGGGATGTAACTGGTGAGTCGAAGACTAAGCCAGTCACCTTCTAGAGCTCGTAAAACCCATTTCTTTGCKTGTATTGTTTAATATTTTATTTGTTAATCATTTGTAATTAACTATTATAAAGATTAGAAATTCAAAAAATTCCGACATTTAAWAAAATCGTATTAGACGAAATAACTGGCTAGTAATTAGTTAAGAGACATTTTCTTAGAGTGACTTGATAAATTGATGTTTACAAGTGAGAAACAAATAAAAATATAAAAGTTTAAAGGTTATTAGCAAGGAATAATAACGCAATAGAGAGAATGATTTTAATTTATAATTCTAAAACATATGGACAACAGTATTTATACACAGTCATATAAATAAAAACAGCAGAATAAAAAATAAAGCTAAGTTAAAAGAGAAGCTAGGGCAATACTATTTCATTATATGATATATAGAAAAATCATTTTCGTAAGACCTACTAAAAATTTTAAGAGATTAACCAAACAATGGCTTGAATTTGTAACCCTCCATAAATGGCACGTTCCTTTGCAAGTGTTGCTGCACCCACCAGAATAAAACAGGGCCGTATTTAAAACCAAAGTAGTGGTAGAGTTTTACCAAACCATTATTAAAAAAAAATCTACTTTATTTAATAATAACTTGTTAATAACCCCCTGGCTTTTTTAAATTTCTTAAAATACTTGACTACATCAAAAACTATTAAAATATTTCAAGTATTTTAGACAAAAAGAAAGTAAATAATCCGGCCCTGTTAAAAACTGACCTGTTTCAGGGTCCGGGTGGGTTCCACTAATTTATGATTTGTTTACCCTSTGGTTTACWCTTAACAATACCGCATTTAACTTAAAAGTAATAAAATTTTTAGTAGGTCTTAGCAAAATGATATTAGTATACTCTCAGTTTCTTAGCAAAATCATTCAATTTTTTCATGAGGCCCCTTCCTTTTGGTATGAATTTAAATTCACCTCGTTAACGTTAATCATCATTTCAATACCTATGCCCTATGCCTAATCTTTAACAATCCAAAAGAAACATTTTGATATTTCCTAAGGTGTGCGCCGAGAAATGGAAACAAAAACAGTGCATAATGTTTATTAATCGCTTAACGAAACCAAAACCGTTATATCAGAAAGTAGAACTAAAGTCCAGTCTTGATAATTTAGCAGTGAGTAGAGAACGCAAAGAAATAAACAATACAACTTCGTATTCAGTTCGATTCCGCATACGCTCCTTTCTTCGGGTTACTCCGGAGCGTTGGTCCACATTCGCGTTCGCGTCCGCGAATTCCACGAGTGGGACAGAGAAAAGCTTTGGGCGAATCCAGCAAGCAGGAAAGAGATCCCCGATGCCGAGGTCTATGAACTTCGCAATATAACTGTAATACATTGCATAAGTGAGCGTCCCGTTACTACTTTCATTCAGGGCCGGCAAGTGTATACGCGAACTCAGTCTGCGCAAGTCCACACCGAAACGGCGCTCCGGACGATTTCAGCAGGACCTTCAGCAATCGATTTTTCAGGATCCGGAACGGCGGCAGACGCGACCTGTTTTATGGCCTTTTGCGGGGAATCTTTATCACATTTTTGAATTTTTTATGTGCCGCATCCAATGCAGAGATGCACTTTCGACGCAAACTTACTGCAATTGTTTGCAGGAACAACGGCGGGGAAGTGCCGGGATTGTCGCGATTTGAGAACTTCGAAATGGGAGAAACGAACGGTCAGGGTTGCAAGAGGGTCATGCTTTTTTTCTTTTTATAGTGAATTGTTCTAACTATAAAAAGTATCTATAAATCATTTAAAGTAAAAGAATCCATTACTGAATTATTTGTTAAAAATAATAATCTTTAAAAAAACACTTTTTACCGTTTTCCATCATCATTTTAGGGGAAAAAATGTGCATACAAATTAAAAAAAAATCCTAAAACACTTCAAATAACTTACGTATTTTAAGTTTGTTGTTTAAAACAACTAATAAATAATTCAAAATAAATACAAACTTCGAAATATGTACTTGTAAACAACAATCTTTACTAAATAAATAAAAATTAAAAAAACAACTTACTGAATTATTGGTATGTTAATATTTCTAAATTGTCAACAAGAATAACACTTGATTTTTGTAATTTCAACATTTGGAAATAGTAGGACCATACTTTTAAAATTCTATTATAAGACCGGTATTTTCCAAAATTTATTAACAAAACATAAGTTTTTTTTATTTTTTTTTATTAGGTAAATTAAGACTTGTTCATCTTCCCTTCAATTTTGTTTTTAATTATGTGTAGTTTTTATAAGTTTTTACCCATTCAAATACCTACTTATACCGGGTGGGGCATTCGTTACGCCCAAAAAGAAAATCCCCACTTCTAATTAAATAAAATTGTTGAATTTTTTCACACTTATCTGGGCATTAGTAAGRCACATTCTCTAATTTTTTGATAATTTTTCTTTCACAAACAAAGCCAAAAAAAAAATAAAAAGTAATTTTCTCCCAAAAAAATTAATTCTAATTTTTATACTGACCTACGCAGATTCACTTCCTACAATTGTTTACAAAATTAGAAAAAAAATACCAATTAGATTTTGGAATAAACGCAATTTTCCATCTTAACTTTGAAAATCATTTTTATTTATGTCCTGCTACTTGTGCTATCGTAAATTTAAGTGACAATGGGGAACTGCAATTAGGGTAATATTCCAAGGTTTACAACAAAAAGACCCTTTAAAGCGGTCGGCTACCAGTAAATGATTCTTTTGTTGGCAAATTATACCATTTTGTCATAAATCACGGGTCTGGTTTGTGGTTAAATAAAAAAAAGCGATTATTTGGCTAACCAAGTCAAAATTTGAAATTGTGATATCAAAGTTTGATGCGCTGACAGGTACAGATTCATTTAGTGTAAAAACTTTATTGGTAAATTAACAGAAAGTATTCATAAAACACACAAAACTGTTACGGACTCATTTATTATCCAAAAAATTAGAAAAATTCTCAAATTATACCTTATCAATAATTAGTTAGGTATATGAAATATCGCCAGTTTTAATTAATTTGAAGTCGCGATTTATCAAATGCGCGTAACCGATGCCCCACCCGGTACAATCAATAAATATACAAACAATGCATAATAGTTAATTTTTATTTTGTTTTTTGAACATTTTTTATGCATTATCTTCAAAATTTTATTTTTCCTATTTTGCTTTAAAGTATTAATAGTTTCATTTAGTTTATTTACATTTTAATCATTGTTCACTTCATCATTCGAACAAATACTTATATTTAAATAGTTTTTTGTTTAACGAAAATAATTAAAGCTTATTTGTTTATTATTTTTATTACTACCCACACGTTCTCACAAAAAACYTGTCAGAAATGATAGAACGTACAGACAATAACTAATGGCCAACGACAGAAAAAAGTAGAGCATTAAGAAATGTAATGAATCGTAACAAACTCAATAAAATAAACATGTGAACCGTAATTTAAAAACGGCTTTAATTCTATTTAAAAAAAAACACGAGTAACAAATAAAGTTTCACCGTGTCTACATAATTTACGGTATAGAAGGGTACAGTTTTATTGCGGTTGTGGTCTTGAAAAAAGCCGTCCCGTTGGGCAGTGAAAGGGTTATAATCCAACCCCGTTATGTACTGTTCCTTTTTAGTTTTATATTAGTCGCCGCCGGTAAACAACCCTCACAACACTTCTTTCCTCTTACGGTACACGCAACCACCCTCATAATAATAAAAATATCGTTCATGTTTATTAAGCACTCTGACCCAGGAAACGATCCACAAAAAATGAAGAGGGACCGCATTTTTTGCCCCACATCTTTTAATAGCTCTTCCCTGTCGAGATTTACCTCTATATTTAGTTACATGTCAGGTGGCCTATAGAAAATCGAATATTGAATTCTGAATCTGGAACTAATGAAATGTTAGATGTTTTATTTATCAGGGACCTAGCGGTAAATCGACCTTCTTCCTCCCCCGAAAAGTGAGCATCGCCAACAAAGCGTTTTAGTAATTGAAATGGAATCCATTTTGTTTTCAACCCGAAAAGAACCGTTAGACTTACACTACGCCACAGTTGGCCAAAGGTGTCATCGATGGTTCATGGTCTTAAGATGAGGGTACCACCGACTGGACACCTTCGAATACCATCAAACGGGTCTTCCAATTCTGATCCACATTTTGGTCGACGACCCGAACGAAACTGATCTTATTACACAAGGAAAATGATACTCGTACTTTGAGCATTTTCAACCAAAACGAGACATTTCTGCACCTGGCGATGCTAACTTTTAATGCATCTGAAGCTATATGTTTACACCGTTAACGAGGACCTCAACTCTAAGTGCAATTCTTCCCGGGTAATTAGAGACCGAAATGAAAGTAACGTTATCACGGGTCCTCTTACCCACCGTTAAATCTAAATTAGCATCAACAGTTATGCACAGGTCCTCCGAATTGTGTGTACGAAGTACAGTTTACAGAACTGTACCGCTA